AGGCATCCACTGGGGAGCTTGGAGCTTACCTCTGTGCACCTCAACTTATAGGTGCAAGAGATGGGAGAAAGGCAGGAAGAGTGTCCCAGTTCTCAGCACGGTGCTTGAGTTTCTTTCCATTGCAGTTTTCTTCCCCAGCCTCCCTGTCTGCCACCCCGCCCCTGCCCTCACCCTCATGGCATCCTGTGGGTCCTGCCCCTCACTGGTCTCCCTGCCTCCTCCAATCCACCCTCCACCTTGCTGCCAGACATCTGGCTCCAGGCAGCTTTGCCTGGGTCTCACCTCCCTGCCTGCTGGCAAGAAGCCCCCTAGGCCTGGTCACCAGCTCCTGCCAACCCGTCTAGCGCCATCCCAGTCCCTCCAGACCTCAGCCACTCACCACACCGCATTTCACCATGTCAGCAAGACCCCAGACATGGGCCCACGTGCCTTGCTCCCGGAGGCTCTCCTACCCTGTCTCCACCCTCGTACCCTCCTCTCTGGTGAATTCTCTGGGTGTGTTTTTTAAAAATCTAGTCCTCAGTCAGGCCTGGTGGCTCATGCTTGTAATCCCAGTACTTAGGGAGGCCAAAGCAGGCAGACCACTTGAGGTCAGGAGTTTGAGACTAGCCTGGCCAACATGGTGAAACCCAGTCTCTAGAGAAAATACAAAAATTAACCGGACGTTGTGGCACATGTTTGAAGTCCCAGCTACTCAGGAGGCTGAGGCATGAAAAACACTTGAGCCCAGGAGGCGGAGGTTGCAGTGAGCTGACCTTGCACCACTGCACTCCAGCCTGGGTGACAGAGCGAGATCCTGTCTCAAAAAAAAAAAAAAAAAAATCTAGTCCTCAAGACATAAATTCCACCTTCACCACTTAAAAACAGCTACCGTTAATAATTAATATGCAAAACACCTAATTATATTATTATCTTATTTAATTTTCACAAAGAACTATTATTGCCATTTTACAGATGAGGAAACTGAGGCTCAGAAAGGTTAAGATCTCGGCTTTGAAGCCAGGTCTCTGCCACCCCAAGTCCTGGGCTTTTATCCACTGAATCACATCAGAATAGCTTGTGGCTCAGTGGACAAAATTGGTTCTGTCCTCTGCACTGGAACAGGAGGTTCCCGAACGGAGGGGCTGTCTGTTTTATTTGTCTTTATATTCCCAAGGTCAAACACAAGACCTGGCCCAAAAGCACAAGGAGAGAGGGAGAGAGGAAGAGCAGGAGGAGGGGAGTCTTTTTCACATTCAGTTAGGGGAGGTGTCGCTGGGAACTGGCACTCTTTCTCATTCACCCAACAAATGTTTATTGAGCAACTACTAGGTGCCAGACATGGCACCAAACAAAGTCCTTCCTGAGGGAGCTCACCTTCTAAAGTACTGGGAAGAAAAATCAAGCCAGGTTAGGGATGGTGTGTGTGCTGCTTTGGAGAGGGTGTTCAGGGGAGGAGGTTGCTGGGTGGAGAATAGCTTGGAATGGGCTAAGTGGTGGAGTGGGGACTTCAGTCTGAAAGCCTCTGCAGCAATCCGAGGAGATGGTGGAGGCTCAAGCCGGGGGTAAAAGTGGGTTTTAGTGGGAAGTGGTCGGATTTAAGGTCTATTTTGAAAGTAAAACAGACAGGACAGGAATCCAAAGCTGAACGTGGCCTGTTTTTTCACCACAGTAGACCTCATAGAGAGGAAAAGCCAGTTTCACTTAAAAGTGTCTGTGATGAAACCATTAAGATGATTCATTCTATGACATCTTGACTTTGGAGTACATGATTTTTTAATATTCTGTGTGATGAAATGGGAAGCCCTTCTGCGAACCGGAGGACAGTGATTACCTCCAGGCAACATCCTCTGTGCCTGAGCTGCCGGCCTCCCAGCCCTCTTGGTGATGGAACTTCGTTTTTACTTAAAAGAATGACTGACAAACTGTGCTTACTCAGACTTGGGTATTTGGTCAACATTTTCTTGAAAATAAAAGGAGTGAGCCGTCGCTTCAAGGAGAACAACTGAAATATTTGTTGGCACGATAAAAGTTGAGCTTTTAAATGAAAATTAGCATTTGGGAAACTTGTATCCACCACTGTAAGTGTGGACACTTTCCAATACTTTACATACTTTTCTGATGAGATTGGTGGTGACGTTACCAAATGTGATTTTAAAATTTTGTATAACATTTGGAAAATCTGCATCACTCCACGAACTGATATTTTCCAAATGACCAGAACACAATTCGATGAAGCCATGCGTGAGTAAAGATCCATCGAAAGACCAAGTGCAGGCTGCGTGCAGCGGCTCACGCCTGCAATCCCAGCACGTTGGGAGGCAGAGGCGGGTGGATCACCTAAGGTCAGGAGTTCGAGACTAACCTGGCCAACATGGTGAAATCCTGTCTCTACTAAAAATACAAAAATTAGCCAGGCATGGTGGTGCAGGCCTCTAATCCCAGCTACACAGGAGGCTGAGGCAGGAGAGTAGCTTGAGCCTGGGTGGTGGAGGTTGCAGTGAGCCGAGATTATGCCACTGCCCTCCAGCCTGGGCAACAAAGCAAGACTTCGTCTCAAAAGACAAAAGAAGAAAGCAAAGCAAAATAATGGATTTTAATATAAGAGAATATGAAAAAGTCATTGATGTGGCTTCAGAGTCCACATGCAGCTAACCTATAAGATAAAGCATCAATTGTCAAGTTTGGGTATGGTCAGGCAGGGCATGGTGGCTCATACCTGTAATCCCAGCACTTTGGGAGGCTGAGGTGGGTGGATCACCTGAGGTCAGGAGTTCAAGACCAGCCTGGCCAACATGGTGAAACCCCACCTCTGCTAAAAATACAAAAAATTAGCTGGGCATGGTGGCACACACCTGTAATCCCAGCTACTCAGGAGGCTGAGGCAGGAGAATTGGTTTAACCCAGGAGGTGAAGGTTACGGTGAGCTGAAATTGGGCCACTGCACTCCAGTCTGGGAGACAGAGCAAGACTCTGTCTCGGAAAAAAAAAAAAAAAAGTTTGGGTATACTCAAAGAAGGCTATGTACAATGATCTAAAAAGGCCTTTAAAATATCTGAACTTTTCCAACTATACCTATCTGTATGAGGCCAAACTTTCTTCATGTATACATTAGCCTGATAGGGCTGCCCTCACCAAGTACCACAGACCAGGTAGCTTAAAGAGCAGAAATTTATTTTCTCACAATTCTAGAGGCCAAAAGTCCAAGCTTAGGGTATTCCCAGGGCTGGTTTCTCTTGAAACCTCCCTCGTTGGCGTCTGATGTCTGCACGCTTCTGGTGTCTCTATGTGGTCTTCGCTCTGTGCGGGGTCCAGACTTCCTCCTCTGATAAAGACACCAGTCATAGCGGATTAGGGTCCACCCTAATATTTTCATTTTCAACTTAATTGCACCTGTAAAGACCCAGTGTCCAAATACACTCACATTCTGAGGTAGTGGGGACATAATTCAGACTGTAACAGTATACTTCAACTAAATAATAACATATTACAAGAGGTTAAATGTAGAGGCCATATAAGAATTCAGCTGTCTTCTATTAAGCCAGATATTTAGAATATTGATAAAAATGTAAAATAATGCTACACTTTGCCCAAAATTTATTTGCCCAAAGTATATTTTTCACAAAAAAAAAGTTGCATTAATATGTAATTGGTTTATTATTTTTAGAAGAATTAATAAAGGTTTTTAAACTTTCTCAGTTTATTTTTTGCTTGAGATAGAGTCTTACGCTGTAGCCCAGGCTGGAGTGCAGTGGCTCACAGCAGCCTCCGCCTCCCAGGCTCAAGCGATCTTTTCAACTCAGCTTCCCAAGTAACTGGGGCTACAGCTCCACAACTCCACACCCAGCTATTTTTTTTTGTATATGTTGAAGAGACGGAGTCTCACTATGTTGCCCAGGCTAGCCTCAAACTCCAGTGATCTATCTCCAAAAGTCCTGGGATTACAGGTATGAGCCACTGTGCCCAGCCTTTTTTTTTATTTTTATTTTTTAAGACACAGGGTCTCATTCTGTCCCCAGCAAGCTGCCACACAGTGGTACAATCATAGGTCATTGCAGCCTCCACCACTGGGCTCAAGCAATCCTCCTGCCTACGCCTTCTCCTCCCAAAGTGTTGGAACTACAGTTGTGAGCCCCCACACCTGGCCTCAGTTTTAATTTCTAATAGGTAATTTATTTTTGGTAGATATAATCTGTATAAATAAAACCTCTTTGGAATTCTCAATAAGAGTAAAGGGGTCCTGAGACCAAGAAGAATCACTGGTTTACAGTGATGAAAATTTGTGTTTAGATCTTTTATCCAAATATCCCACTAGGAGACTGACCTCAGGGCATTTGCGCTTGCTCTTTGAATACCTTATTTGTCATGCCCTGTACTGTGATAAAGGTGTGTCTGAGGGGACCTTATCCATCACCTTCCTTTCCTGACAGTAATTATTGTTTTCTCAAAGATATACGGCTTCAACCCTTTTCATCTACTCTGAATACTGTCCTGAATCATCTCCGATACAGAAAATCTGTAGTGCCGTTGTTCAGGTCTTAACTGAAATGTCACTTCCTGGGAGAGGCTGCCTAAAACCCATAACCCATGCCATAGATCAGAAATAAGTTCTTGGCCAGGCACGGTGGCTCACACCTGTAATCCCAGCACCTTGGGAGGCTGAGGCAGGCAGATCACCTGAGGTCAGGAATTCAAGACCAGCCTGGCCAACATGGTGAAATCCCATCCTGGAAGGCAGAGGTCACCAGGATTGCACCACTGCACTCGAGCCTGGGTGACAGAGCAAGACTCTGTCTCAAATAAAAAAAGAAAGAAAGAGAGAGAGGAAGGAAGGAAGGAAGGAAGGAAGGAGGAAGGAAGGAAAAGAAAGAGGTTCTTATGGCACCCTGGGTTCTTCCCTCATAGCACCTACCAGGGGGATTGTAGAGTTGCTTCTGAGAATATTAGTTCAGCCTCCCCCATTCAAAGTACATCTATAAAGCTAATGTCCTTGTCTCTCTCGTTCATTGCTGTATCCTCAGTTTCTAGGATGTTTGTTCAAAGAATGAATGAATGAAGACATGCATTCAACTGCTGTGGACCAGTGGAAGCTACTAGTGGAGTCAGGGGCGCTGCAGCTGTGCACACAGGCATGCAGTGTGGGAGCATCGCTGGTGCATCGTCTGACTTCTGAGGATGCTTAACGTTTCAAACCACAGCAAACTTCATTATAGAACCTATTTTCCAGAACACATACACAAGATAGTGCTGTGTTGAGGAAGAAATGAGGTGCGCCTAGGATCATCAAAATCTTCACTCCACCCCCAACCTCCTATCCCCACTTTTTTGCCACTGACAGATGAGCCCATTGGAAATAAGCCAGTAAGTCTTCCTGGGACCTCGTTCAGCTCCTTCTCCAGGGAAAAGGCAGAATGCAAATACAGTTTTTGATCTTGTGTGAATTTGGAGAATGTGCAATGTAGAGAGGCCCCGTGTGCATTTCATGGCAGATCCAGAAAATAAGGTTTAATGATGAGAAAAGAAGGAAATGATTGTCAAAATATGACTTCATAAGGTACAGCCCCAGGGGGCCTACTTTGGCAGTAAAGATAATTAAGCTTAGATTTTTAAAGGTCAATTTTAACCAGCTTGTGAGGCAAATGGCAACAGTAACATCATCCTAGCCCTCCGTATCTATGGCAACTGAATGTCTCAGCTGTAATTAAACATAAAACTACAACTACTGCATTGGTCCCAGCACCAGCTGCAAATACATATACGAGAACAAAGTAGGCAAACTTGACACATCCTTTTGGAATATTCTGGCCATTTACTGGGAAAACAAGCAACAGAAGCTGCTGTTAAACCTGCTGCTAATGACGCCAGGTTGCTGATCCACCAACCTGCCTCTGGGACCTTGTGTGAGAGGAAGACTGATCCCAAATCAATTGCTTTTCATTCATATATTGGTTATAAGCTGGAGAGCAAAGGTAGCAAAAAAAAAAAAAAAAAGGTGATTATTTGGATATTTGAATTATCTTTTTAAAAGTATTTTTTTCTAATCTCAAACATGATTAAAAAGGACCAGGCACAGTGGCTCACACCTGTAATCCCAACACTTTGGGAGGCCGAGGCAGGCAGATCACTTGAGGTCAGGAATTTGAGACCAGCCTAGCCAACATGATGAAACCCTGTCTCTACTAAAAATACAAAAATTAGCCAGAAGCAGTGGCATATGCCTGTAATCCCAGCTACTTGGGAGGCTGAGGCAGGAGAATCACTCGAACCCAGACGCGGAGGTTGCAGTGAGCTGAGATCGCACCACTGCACTCTGGCCTGGGTGACACAGCGAGACTCCATCTAAAAAAAAAAAAAGATTTTAAAAAGAAACCAACACATATTTATTGTAGAAAATTTCTAAAATTCAGACAAATGTCAAGAAGAAAAGAAAAAGTACCTGAAGTCCCAATTAGGTTGTTTCCTGTCTTTTTTCTGTACGTGTATTTCATACAATTAGGATTAAGCATATAGTTTTGTGTCCTGTGCTTTTTTCCCATTAAGAGTATGTTACGATCTTTTTTCCATATTATTATTCTTCAAAAGTACAGCTTTTAACAATGGCAGAAAATTTTTACCATATAACTCTCCTATAAATTGTCTTTGTACTTTATCTCATTTACTCCGCATTGTGGGATTAGTCATTTTTACAGCCTGTCAGCATGTCCTACATAGGCAATCTAGCTCCCCAATTTAGGAGGTAGAGTTCTTGGCATCTGTTGCACTGATCTCACTCCACTTTGGAGTCTCAGCTGAAGCCAAAACGAGAGTCCCGTTTTAGCATCCTGTTCCATATGTAAAATTGGAGGGAATAACTAAGACAAATTAATAAAAATACAACAGTGGTGGTAGACTTTCACCCACTTGTTTCAGTCTTTGTTGGACTAAATAGAGAAAAGAAAGTAAGGATATTACAGAGGAGGAGAATATAATGACTAAATGTTCTGAACTGTATCCTTTGAAAAGAGTAGACTTCCTTTCGATTAAATGGAAAAAGATATAATGATGTCCACTGATGAATGGGTAAACAAAATGTGGTATATACATACAAGGAGGCCAGAGTGGTGGTTCATGCCTGTAATCCCAGCACTTTGGGAGGCCAAGGTGGGCGGATCACTTGAGGCCAGGAGTTCGAGACCAGCCCGGCCAAAATGGTGAAACCTTGTCTCTACTAAAAACACAAAAAATTAACCAGGTGTGGTGGTGCACACCTGTAGTCCCAACTACTTGGGAGGCTGAGGCAGGAGGATCACCAGAGCCTGGGAGGCAGAGGTTGCAGTGTGCTGAGATCACGCCACTGCACTCCAGCCTGGGTGACAGAGCAAGATCCTGTCTCTAAATAAATAAATAATACACACAATGCAATATTATTCTGCCTTTAAAATAAAGAAATCCTATCATGTGACAACATGGATGAACCTGGAGAACATGATGCCAAGAGAAATAAGCGAATCACAGAAGGACAAATACATGATTCTACTTATATGATGTCAAACTCATAGAAAGAGAATAAAATGGTAGTTGCCAGAGGCTGGAGGGAGGAGGGAATGGGGAGTTGCTAGTCAGTGGATATAAAATTTCAGTCATGCAAAAGGAAAAAGTTCGAGAGATCCGCTGTATAACAATGTAGCTATAAATAACAGTATTGTGTTGTACACTTTAAAATCTATTAAGAGGGTAGCTCTTACCTTAAGTGTTCTTGACACAATGAGATCAAGTAAAACGGAAAGCCCATTGTATATAACAAACTGGAAATTTTACAGTCATATTCCTGATCATAATGCAAGAACACAAGAAATAAGTTAAAAGTAGATGAATTGGATGTCTTTTGTAGTTGGCAACAAATAAAACAAAATAAAATAAAAAGTAGATGCAGAAAGACATTTGAGAATGTCAAGCCTTTCTATTGAACTACTCTAGAACAAAAATACATTTATAAGATATTTGGGAAATAATGCTAATAAAAACACTCCATATAAAAACTCATGGATCACCCTAGAGCTATACTCAGAGGAAAATGCCTACTCTTAAAACATTCTGGGAGTAAGAAAAATAAAATACAGCAGTCAATTAAGTCTGCCCAAGAAGTAGGGAGGAGAAACTTCGTTTTCCCTTCAAGAGCTGCCTGAGGTGACGTGCCCATTTTGTCACACTCCCCAGAGTCAAACACTTTAGCAAAACAATAAAGATCACAGCTCCAAGGCTTATTTGGAGCTCAACAAGTTAGACATAAGGTGTTTCGTTGGTTTTGTTAAAAAGCAGATATACTGAGATATAATTCACATCCCACCATACAATTTACCCACTTAAGGTGCAAAACTGAGTGGTTTTTACCATATTCACAGGTTGGTGCATCCATTACTATTACCAGTTTTTAGAACATTTTAATTTAATTTTAATTTTAATTTTTTTGAGACGGAGTTTCGCTCTTGTTGCCCGGGCTGGAGTGCAGTGGCGTGATCTTGGCTCAACACAGCCTCCACCTCCAGGGTTCAAGTGATTCTCCTGCCTCAGCCTCCCGAGTAGCTGGGATTACAGGCATGCGCCACCATGCCCGGCTAATTTCGTATTTTGGGTAGAGACAGGGTTTCTCAATGTTGGTCAGGCTGGTCTCGAACTCCCGACCTCAGGTGATCGCCCACCTCGGCTTCCCAAAGTGCTGGGATTTCAGGCGTGAGCCACCATGCCTGGCCAGAACATTTTTATTACCATTGAAAAAACTCCATCCCTTGGCCAGGTGGTGGCGCACGCCTTTAATCCCAGCACTTTGGGAGGCTGAAGTGGGAGGATCACCTGAGGTAAGGAGTTTGAGACCAGCCTGGCCAATATGATGAAATCCCGCCTGTACTAAAAATGCAAAAAAAAATCTGGACTTGCTGATGCACGCCTGTAGTCCCGGCTACTTAGGAGGCTGAGGTGGGAGGATCGCTTGAGCCCAGAAGGTGGAGGTTGCAGTCAGCTGAGATGGTGCCACTGCCCTCTAGCCTGGGTGACAGCATGAGACTCTGTCTCAAAAAAAAAAGAAAAAAGAAAAATCCCATTCCCATTAACAGTCATTCCCCATTTCTCTCCATCCCCACCCTGCTGGCAACCACTAATCTGCTTTCTGCATCTGTAGATTTGCCTATTATGGAAATTTTATATAAATGGAATCCTGTGGAGAGAGAGAGAATGGAGAATGACTGCTTAACTGGGTACAGGAGTGATGAAAAAGTTCTGGAACTAGATAATGGTGATGGTTGCAAAACATTGAGAATGTATTTAAACATGCCTAAGTTGTACACTTTAAAATGGTTAACCAATCCGGGCAACATGGTGAAACCCTGTCTCTACCAAAAATATAAATAAATAAATAAATAAAAGCCAGGCATGATGGTCCCAGCTACTCGGGAGGCTGAGGTGAGAGGGTTGCTTGAGTCCAGGAGGTTGAAGCTGCAGTGAACCGAGACTGCTCCACTGCACTCCAGCCTGGGTAATAGAGTGAGACTCTGTCTCAAAAAATAAAAACTAAAAATAAAAAAAATCTATAATAAAGTGGTCGATTTTATGTTATGGTGAATTTTATGTAATGTGTTTTTTTACCATAATTTTTAAATCCAAACTAAGGAAAGCTAGTATTTGTGAAGTCATTAGGCAGAACCATATCTAATTTAAGAATTAGTCATGAGTATTGAAGTGGATTCCTTTTTGTCACATTGTACTAAGAGAAACAACAAACATTGCCAACCAAATATCACCCAAAACAACAACTATTTAAGCTTATTTAACCAAAACACGGAGGTTAGGCATTTTGTTTCTTTGAAAGCAAGGTATAATAATTTTAACCAAACAAACATGTGGAGCTAAAAATGATGTTTTAGCAATACATATAAAATTTTAATAGATTGTTACCTAAGTAACTATGAAAAGCTTGAAATGTCACATTATAATGCTGGCTTCACCTTGCTCTGTTTATTTACAGACTAGGAAAGAGAAAGATAAGCCTCCAGCCTTATCAAGCTCCTAAAAATTTCTCACTTTGGCAGCATTAAACTATTGTGCAAGAGCAAGTGGGGTCAGGCTCTGTGACTCACGCCTATAATCCCAACAAGCTACCAGCTTTCAGGTCCCAAATGTAATAAGACTCAAAGAAACGGCATCAAATTCTAGAGCAAAATCAATCATCTACCATGATTGTGCTGAATATCCTTCTGTTTCCACGTAAGGGAACATTGGAGTCAGCTTCTGAATGGCTTGCGACTTTAAAAATAAAACTAGCCAGGCGTAGTGCCACACACCTGTAGTCCCAGCTACTCTGGAGGCTGAGGTGGTAAGATTCCTTGAGCCCAGGAGATCAAGGCTGCAGTGAACATGAGTGTACCACTGCATTCTAACCTGAGTGACAAAGCAAGACCCAGTCTCTATTTTTTAAAAAAACTATTTAAGAAAACTACAACCAAGTATTAATGCAGTGATTTGTGATCTTGGATGCACATTAGAATCATCTAAGGGCTTTTAGAATCTTCCATGCCCTGGTCACACCCAAGGCCAATTTTTTTTTTTTTTTTTAATTTATTTTAGGTTCCGGGATACATGTGCAGAACATGCAGGTTTGTTACATAGGTAAACGTGTGCCATGGTGGTTTGCTGCACCTATCAACCCATTATGTAGGTATTAAGCCCAGCATGCATTAACTATTAGTCCTGATGCTCTCCCTCCCCCTGTGCCATCGACAGGCCCCAGTGTGTGATGTTCCCCTCTCTGTGTCCACGTGTTCTCATTGTTCATCTCCCACTTATGAGTGAGAACATAGAGGCGCTTGGTTTTCTGTTCCTGTGTTAGTTTGCTGAGGATGATGGCTTCCAGCTTTATCTATGCCCCTGCAAAGAACATGATCTCATTGCTTTTTATGGCTATATAGTATTCCATGGTGTAGATGTACCACATTTTCTTTATCCAGTCTATCATTGATGGGCATTTGGGTTGG